TGAGGGAGGGAGGGGGAAGACGGGTAAGCGGTGTTAGGAGCACGCGCCGAAACGCGATACCTACCGCCTCGAAGGAGGCCATACACATCGCACGCTCCTCGCATGTGCGAATCGTGCGTGACGCACCACCAGCGAATTCCGCTCGTCTTGAATTCCCTTGTCAACCATCGCCCCTCCCCCCCCCCCTCTCCACGGCACATCCTGTGTCCTGTGGCTTCGCCTCCCCGGATCCCGTTTCCACCTTCCGCCTTCCCCCTCTCGAGTACGCAGAGCACTCAATGCAAAACGCTCGTTTCGATGAAAAATAAAAAACTCGTATCTCGAAGGATATTACCGATCGAGTCGAATTCGCTCGAAACTTCAGCTTCATTTTTCGATTTGAATAGGAGGCCGATCTTATATCCAACGTTTATTTTGATTTTTCGATGATCGGTCAGAAGAAAATTATATATACGTTTTAATTCTTGCAGGATTTGGTTTAATTTCTCTGGTATTGTTACGGACGAGAAAAAAAAGAAAAAGAAAAAGAAGAGATACATTTTTTTTGGAAACAATTTACGCGATATTTTGCTCGACTATCGCTCGATGCTCGCCGTGTGAACAAAGGACGTCCAGTTCTGTTTTCATCGTCTCGTTACACGAGCGAATCTCACCTCTCTCCTATCCGTCGGTCTATATCCGTCGAAGCGATCCTTTTTCTCCGACGAAAAGGTCAGAGGTGTTGTTCCACTCGCTTTCGCAACGAGGCTTTTTTTCAACGAGACTCGAAAGATTTAGCGTTAGTTAGATTTTTTTCATCTCGATTTTCCCTCGACGTTTTTTAAATTAGGCAATAGTCAGATACGACAAGAGAGATATTCGAAGTAACTTTTGGACAGATCGATCGATTAACCGCGTTGGAGAAATTTCTTCCAGTAGTACAAATTATTTTTACAACGGATAGTGTTATATTTTACATTCTCTTGTTACATTTCTCAACTTAGTTTGGATTAACTAACCTACCTTGATGGACATCGAAGTTTGAAAAGTTATAACGAAACGAGAGATCGAGAAACGGGTTCTCCCTTTCCGATTCCTAGATCGGATAATCACGAAAAGGAGAGGGGGGAGGGGGGTCGAAGGTCAGGATTTTCGACGCGACAGCTGTTCCAGAAAAGGTGCTCGTCGCATCTGCACCTTTCCGCCTCTTCCCCCCCCCCCTCCTCTCCTCCTCCTATCTAATAGAGCCTTTCCTCTCTCCACCGCCAGTCGAAAATAACAAACTTGCCTGACCGGGGTCACGATGGGGAGAAAAAAAGAATCGATTTCGAACCGTTTTCGACCCGCTTTTTTCCCGTATTATAATTGAAAATATGTTTAATTAATAACTCTTGTTTCGCAATTGTACTCGTGGTTTGAATTAGTTTCAAATTTCTTCACCATTCATCGTATCTTTCGTATTTTTCTTCTTTGTTTCCAGACGATGTTTTTCACGCGAAAATTTATTATTATTATTCCGATTTATCGTGACAAACGAAATTCCCTATCCGCTCGACGAATAGAAGAATATCACGCGCGATGTGTAACGATATTATCGAGAGAGAGAAAGAGAGAGAGAGAGAACAAGTTCGAAGAAATTTTTTTTCCAACTCGAGCTCGAGCGCCTCGTTGTCGATCGTAGCGCCGAAGCGCTCCTCTAAATATCTGGGCGGGGCGGAGAGGGGGAGGAGGGGAGGGGCGGAGAGGTGGCGTTATTTGTTCCCGACGCGATGAACAGTTGATTTTTCGCGTCGCGTTCCCGCGAAGGCATTGTCGCGGTCGCTGAAAGCGCGCGGCTCGAATTAAACTTCACTCGGCTCGTTGATAAACGAAAGTCGACACTGGTATGCTTTACGATAAGCCTGTTCCCCTTCGAGCGAAGCCTCGCCGCGGTAATAAACGGTTAACGAGAATTCTTTCGACGCTCGTCGAAATAAAGACGATTCGTAATTCTCGATTTCTTCTTCCTCTTCTTCCCTTGCTTTTTCTCCAGATTGTTTTGTCAACGATCTCCTCGTCGCGCGATTTTCTTCGTTTCCCTTAAAAATATCGCGCATAATATATATATATAAAGAGAGAGATATATATATATGTCACGAGCCGTTATTTTATTCGTAGAAGAAGGCAGTAGCGACGTCTCGCTTCGCTCCAACGAACGAAATACATACTATACCTCGCTATTACGGCCTTCTCTTTATACGGCATTTCGCCTCTTTTAATTATGGCATTTTCTCGATTTACGGCCCGCAGTGTTTCGTTATACGGCTTTAAAAAAAAAGAAATGCTTTTTAAACTAAAAACTACATTATCTTATAAAAGATTGGAACAGATGGAATTTGTATGGGTTTCGGTATCAGAATAATTGACTCGTTACACGGTTTTTCGCTTTACGGTCAACTTTTTTTCGAGGAACGTATCTAAAGCGAGGTATAATCGTAAAAATTATCGAATAAACAACGCGACCCTGAAAGTCTGTCCCCTACAAAAGGGATCCCCTGATAGATTAACGGATTTCTCGATCCCGTAAGAGCAGAAAAAGAAAAAAGAAGGACAAATATTTCCTTCCTGAAAGTTTCGCGATGAATTCTCCCTGAAACTGGTTCCACGAGCTGACTCATCCTCCACGTCATTCGGTATACAACACGTCCATGCATGCGCGTGGACGTATTACGAACCGTCTCTGTCTCTCTCACACGCCTATACCTGTATACGCGCGAAGGTGAGAGAGAGCATGACCCTCCTTCCCTCCCTCTCTCTCTTTCTCTCTCTCTCTCACGCTTTCTACCCTCTTTTCCAGCACGTAGTAGACGCAGCGTAACAGGGTGGGAACCGGCTTACTGTTACGAGGCATACATGTCAGTCTGCTACCGTTACGTACGTGACTCGCGTATGTACAGACTGGTACCGTAGCGTGGAAGGGGGATGATTCCACGAGAGAGAGAGAGAGGAGGGGGGAGGGGAGAGGATGAAGAGGAGAGAGAAAAGCTCGACCTTTTCTTTTTTTTTTTTTTTTTTCGCGACACAGGTTCTCGTTTCGTTTCACGAACACACGGACGCATGCACGCACGCACGGTTAATGATTACTTCGCGCCAAGTTTCCGCGGATTCGCGAGATTCGAGGAGGAGTCGAGATCGTGCGCGAAGACCCCCCCCCCCTCCCCCTCCTCTTCCTTCCCTCCCTCGATCGAGCGGCAACGTTGGATATTTGTTCGTTACGACCGACGATGGTTTCTCTTTTTTTTTTTTTCCTCTTTTTTTCTCTCTCCTCGTTTTTTCGAGGTGGAAAGTTGGAGGATGCGAGGATGGTTTCTTAGAGGCGTTGGAAAAAAAAAAGTTTAATTCGATTCATCGCCGAATTGAGAGACTGATATACACGCTTTTTTTTTTTTTTGAATCTCTTTATCAGGAGAATGAAACATTTCGTCGAGTAGTTTTTTTAATGATATTATTACGACAATCGTCTCGCTACAACCCAAAGACTCGGGGGGTTGGATTAAACGAGTTAACCGTTTTTTTTAATACCGCTTGTGTGTGTGTATGTGCGCGCGCGTGTGTGTGTGTGTGTGTATACGTACAGAAATCGGTTGGTGCGATTCCTTGTCTAGAATTTAGAAAAGAAACGTTCGTCTTTCCGCTTTCCATCATCGTATTTATCGAAATTATCGAGATTATTCGGTGTTTCGAAATTTTATATTTATATATACATATTCAGAAATCGAAAAAAAATGCTCTTCTCATCGCTCGAAGAATCGGCCGGAAGTTCCATCACCGGAAGATCGCAGCGGAGGCCTGAGCCGAGAAAAATCTTCAGAAAGAAAGAAAGAGAAAGAGAAAAGTCTGGCCGAGAGGAGCGAGAATTTTTCCTGAACCTGAAAAAAAAAAAAAGAAAAAAGAAAAGAAAAGGAACGAACCCGTTCCTGCTCGTCTCGAGCCAGCCAGCCAAACGGATAGACAAAGACACGCAAAGACACGTCGATCTACGCACGTCCACGCGATCGAAATTGGAATTGGTTTCGTTCCGCGTTTCTTTCGCCGAATTCCCCCCTCCCCCCTCTCCCTCTTAACCCCTCTCCCTCCCCGCGCACGCGTTACGTATTTTATTTTCCTCCTCCTCCTTTTTTCATTTCATTTTCATCCTGCTTCTTCAATGATTTCTTGCTTTTTTCGAATGTATGATTTTATATATTTATTTTTCCTTTCTTTCTTCTTTTTTTTTTTTTTTTTTTTTTTCTTTGGAAAGCGATCAAACGGCGGAGTCGAAACGGGTGTCCTCGAAGATTTTTTTTCGAATTTCGAATTTCGAATTTCGAATTTTAAGTTTTGAGTTTTGAGTTTCGAAGACACCCTCCCTCCCCGATCTTCAGGATTTTGAGTTTGTATCGATACACAAGTTTTACCTTTTTTTGACGAGGCGACGATATACCCCCCGCTTTGTGTTTTATGATTTCTTTCACGGCACGTTTTGCCTTTTTTGCCGATTTTCTTCAGTTTTCTTGTTTCGAAACGGAGGAAACGGAGAACGAAGTCACGGAGAAGGAAAACGAGAGGATCGAAACGAAACGGCTCGCCACCCCTTCCTCGGATGGATCTGAATTGGACGATGGATCCAACGCGACGCGGCACTCTCTCTCGCGTTTTTGCAATGAACTCCTTCTTCGAGCAGGCCGCATGGAAGGTTGTTCTTATTGTTCAACTCGTTCCAGGCGGGCTGTTCGAAGAAGAAAGAGAAGAAAAAGAAAAAAATTTTTCGACGAATTTTCGTTCGCTCGTCTCCTTTCGAGAGAGAGAGAGAGAGAGAGAGAGAGATGGAAGAGGAAGGGTGAGAGGGCGCGAGGGACGCGAAGAATTGCAAGGCCGAGGGTAATCGTGGCCGCCGCATTAAGAAGAGAAAAAGAAAAAGAGAAGAAAAAAAAAAAAAAAATTGCGAATCCATTGAATTTGAAGTCTAAACGAAAGGTGTGTGTCTATCGGTTTGGTTTTAGCCCTGAGCAACTGCTCTGCCGAGAGCGGAGGCGAGCCGGAAGCCATGCTGGATATCCACCACCCAGGAACAGGTCTCGAGTCTCATCACCAACAGTTTCACAACTCATATGGTAATATCGTTAAAATACATCACTACTACGATATTTTTCTCTCTTTTCTTTTTTCTTTTCCTTCTTCTTCTTCTTCTTCTTCTTCTTCTTCTTTTTTTTCTCTCTCTCCCCCACCCCCCAAAAAAAGGAAAAAAGAAAACTCGTCCGCGTATGCGCGATCGAGATAAGAACGATGCGATAACGTACGCGAGCACAGCAACAATCGTTTCTTTTAATCATCCCTATCCTCTCAAAAAAAAAACCCTCGAGGATGGAGAATCTTTTTCACCACCTTTTCGAGGTTAAAACCTTTAAAACTTCTCTGTTTCCATTTCGGGCCTTTTTTTCGGCCCGATTTTTCGTTCAATTTTTCTCGAAGAATCCCCCTTCCTCCCCTTTCTTTCTCTCTCTCTCTCTTAGAGAGATCGTTTCCGCATTCGTCGAATACCGATTTTCTTCTTCTTCTTCTTCTTCTTCTTTTTCTTCTTCTTCGACGAGGATCGAGACGATCAAATCTTCGATCAAATCGGTCGCGAATCGTGACGTCGGTGGTGATTTCGTGACGAATTGGATTGCGACGAGAGGGTGGGGGATCGAACGGATGCCGCCGTTCCATTAGAAATTAATCGGTGTTATTCGGGTTTGGAGAGAGAGAGAGAGAGAGAGAGAGAGAGAGAGAGAGAGAGAGAGAGAGAGAGAGAGAGAGAGACGACGTACGTACGTCGTACGTACGTAACGTAAACGTAA